ACTAACTATCGAATATTAGTTATCGGGTTGAAAAGCCTAGAGTAATATCTGATAGGAACGTTTGTGTTCTTTGGTTGTTGGTCTAAGATTATTGGAATTATTCCGATAACCTCAGGTCAACCATCGGGGAACGTCGACAGTGTCATTTCCGGTCATCTATGATCAGGGGTGTCACAACGTGCCTCTCCATGTCTATGTGCCTCTCCATGGCTACATTCCTCTCCATGCTTACGTGCCTCTCCATGGCTCGATGCCTCTCCATGGCTACATGTCTCTCCAAGGCCATGCGCCTCTCCTAGGCTCCGCGCCTCTCCAAGGTCCTGCACCTCTCCAAGGCCTTGTGCCTCTCCATGGCTACATGCCACTCCAAGGCCATGTGTTTCTCCAAGGCCCTGCGCCTCTCCTAGGCTCCTCGGCTCTCCAGGGCCCTGCGCCTCTCCAAGGCCATGCGCCTCTCCAAGGCCCTGCGCCTCTCCAAGGCCTTGCGCCTCTCCAAGGCCCTGCGCCTCTCCTAGGCTCTGCGCCTCTCAAAGGCCATGGGACTCTCCAAGGCTCCGTGCCTCTCCTAGGCTATACGCCTCCATCAGGCAATGTGCCTCTACCAATATGAACTACGAATGGCTTGATCCCCTTCTAAGCCAAGGGGTATGTAGGCAATCCCCACTCTAGGATGCAGCTATAATCCCAAACACCTTCTACGGTTCCACACCTGAATGTCCAAATAACCATCCTAGAAGTCGGGTATACCATCATTTAAGGCAGGAAGGGCTTGCAGCCCTCACCGTAGACAGGCAGCCCCTATCTAAAGATCAATATCTCCTGTTGTTATCAAGACTTTGGCGACATATACTGGCCCATTCCCATATGGTAGTAGCCCAAAGCAGGATCTTCTGGTTTATCGACAACTGAACCAGAAGAAACCCCTCACACGATTTGTGTCCTTCCTCCTATCATTCCGTAGGCTGAGCACGAATCGCTTGTACCATAAAATACCCTAACATTTTGGCGCTAGAAGGATGGGGAGATTTAAACTACGTGACGTTGTAATAGGTGGAAGAGACATCACATATGTTCCTGCATAATATCTCAACCCCAGCCACCTGGGGGCAAGAAATGACTTGTTCTCATCAAGCCCAAGACTCACGCACCTGGAGAACACTTCACAAAGAGGACAACACCATGCTAGCAGTTGTAGCATAATTCAACAAAGAAACTAGCACTGAGTTCATGCAGGTTCCTGGCCCCAACCAGGAGTCGCTCCTCAGCAATATTCGGGTCCTTTTGGCTCAAGGTTTCAACGATGGATTACACCTCTACAATCTTTGGTCCCTGCACATTCATGCTGGTCCCGGGCCTCAACTACAAAGCACACCCCTTCAACCATTGGATTCAATATTTCCAGCCAGGGGCAATCATCACCAACTTCAAGATTAGTGGATAGTCCACTAGCATCAATCTAGTGGGCCCTATACGCCATCAATTCATCCGGGCTCACAACTCCGCCCCAGTGAGAAGGATGAAAGGTCCCCAAGCAAGACACAACACCTTTCAACCAGATTTACAACTTTGACGAATTCCAAGAGGAGGGGCCATAAGAAGAATTTTAGGGAATATTGTAGGCACGCCAGACACCACTAATAGGTAACTCCAAACCACATTTCCTCTCAGGTTCTAGAATTTAGGTGCTAGTGAATGTTGGGGTCAAAATCGGTTACGACAGAATCAACGACCAAAACTTTCTGCAAATTTAAGAATAGGTTTTAGAAATATGAAAAAGCTTCGAGAAGAAATCTAAGGACTTTCCGAACAAAGGAATCCCGTAAACTTAACAATCTTCATATTGGAAATCATCGAAATAACGAATAAAACAATCCACGGTTGTCCAAATTTACCAAATTAGCAAAACACGGCTATAACGTCCAAAATTTCCAAAACGGTAAAGCCGTTATTAAGGTCTAAAACGATAACCTCTAGATTAACCTCTACGATTATCACTCCTTATATTCTCTGAAAGGATCTCGGGTCGAGAAAACGAGAAACTATATCAAACCGAACGATCGACCAGCTCACCAACAGGCGAGCTGGCCATCTCTGACCAGCTCACCTGTTGGCGAGCTGAACCGTCCAGTCCAGCTCGCCAACTGGCGACCTGGCCAGCCTTGACCAGCTCGCCTGTTGGAGAGCTAAACCGTCCAGTCGTATAAGCTGAGAACCTATCGCGGACTTTACATCAGAACAAAATCAGGTTAAAATCGCAATAGGCAAAACGAAAGCCGACTAGTTACCAACAGCCTTAAAACCGAAAGTAAACCTATGTTTTTTTTCCAAAACCCAGCACACTTATCTCTAATGTCTCAAGGCATGAATTAAGATCCTAAAGGCATGTCTCTTCGTCCACATCTAAGCCCTCACAAAAAATCGGAACATTCCGATACGAGGAAACGAATAGGACGATCTACGCAAAGATTTCGATACGAGACGACAACTCATATTACAAACGATTAGCGGCAGAGATTCAAACCCACCAATCTCAGCGTTACTCGCGTTCACAGCCTCTGTCATAAAACAAAGACCCTACAAACAAAGGAAGCATTTTGATTATAATCTGACTATACGCAGAGTAATCGCAGGAATCGACAAAGGGTAACAAACCTTGTTAACGAGCCTCGATGCTTTCGCAAACGGCGTCTCGGCTGGTCCAACATCAGAAGAAGGAACCGAGAAATCGATGTAATCCAGGATATTGATTTCTGCGTCATCGCTTGTTTGACCTTCTTGAAAGTCATCGAACCACTGTCACATCTCGACCGGAGTACCTTTATCCTGCGGAGATCTGGACCTCTCCCTTGGAACATTAACTATTCCTGGCTCCGACTAAACTTCAACGGGCTCGCTCTTCTGAAAACGAGAAAGGTGGAAGGCAACAGCGAGACGAACTCTCTTTGGAGAGAAGTGTCCCCAATAAAACGGACCGCCAAGGTGAAGGCTCTTAACCTGTTCGAGATCCTCGGGTTTTAGAGTAACAAGACCGGACGCTGCAAAAACGCAAATCCAACACGAAGTTAGAATTCAGAAAAAGTGTACCCAAAAAACGTACAATCTAAATACCCTTTTCCCCCATTCACTCCTGAACATGGGGATGCAGCTCTCCTCTACCAAGCACTATCAATTCGAACGTAGAAGAAAAACTCCTCCCGATTGTGACCATTCCAGGAAAATTTCTCGATGATCCACATTTTCGCCCTCGTAGATGTATAATAATAACCCTCATCGTTCACGCACTTGGACGACAGCATAGCTTCGAGATAATCTGCACTAACGGCCATACCGCGCTCGTAGCCCAGTAAAAAAATCCCGATGAGATGCTGTAATGCGGAGTCACAAAGTTGGCTGATTGACAGCCCGAACCGATCCAAGAGTTTAACTATGACCCGTGGGATGGGAAACCACAGTTGGCAACTAAGCAAAAAGGCCTTGTAGAACGTAAAGTAACCCGGAGGCGGATGCTTGGCATCTTGACCACATTCGAGAATGTGAAACTGTACCGAATCTGGGATTATTCGAGATCTCCGCATAACGTCGAGGGAATGAGCGGTACTCTGGCTCGGAAAATTTTGTCTCTTCATTGATCTACGCCTCGAAGGAACCCAGAAGTTAGACTTGGGGGCCTCGGCAACATGCACAGCTTCCAAATACCTCTTGACCTCCTCTTTATCTGGGGTAAATCTTAATAATACAGGTGCAGGTATTATGTTACCACCGTAACACTCAAGATCGCTCAGATCAAAAATCGACGGATGGGCACTTTCTGAAATTCTTCGTTCAGAAGACATGCTTATCAAACAAGTATGGAATGATTCAAAGAGAGAGAGAAAGACAGAGACACTTTCTTTGCCTTAGGAAAATTTATGTGGAAAGAAGTGAGTAAAGAATTTGAAAGCTTACTCCACATATTTATAAGCAAGTTTCTACTATTCACCTCTGAACTTTCAGTCGCTAAAGTTCTGCCTGATTCTACCAAACTTGCCAAACAAGTTCAAACCGTTCGCAAGAACTCTACAATTCTTACGGGCTGGGGGCTAAATGTTGGGGTCAAAATCGGTTACGACAGAATCAACGACCAAAACTTTCCGAAAAGTTAAGAATAGGTTTTAGAAATACGAAAAATCTTCGAGAAGAAATCAAAGGACTTTCCGACAAAGAAATTCCGTAAACTTAACAATCGTCATCTTGGAAATCATCAGAAAACCGAATAAAAAATCCGCGATTGTCCAAATTGGCCAAATTAGCAAAACACCTCCAATAAATAAACAAACAATTTCAGTCCTTTTTCGAAATAAACAATCTATGTTTTAAATGCTCTGCCGTTACCCGGCTGTTCCCTTGCCATTATAATGTGTAACTGAATTTTATTGAAGAGATTGTTGTTATAGATATGTTAAGGTAATTAATGGAGACGTTTTCAAGTGTGGTTTTCTAGTGCGGATTTTTTAAACCGCTTTAATACCATTGGATTTCATATTTATATATATAGTCTCTGTAGATCCTAAAATCTACACCAAGTATTTTTGAAGTATTAAGGGTTAAATCTAGGGAAGACAAATGATGTGGGCCATGATTCTCTTAGAACATTACGATATAATTGGAATTCAGTTGACAAAAATGGACTTTATTAATATGGGGTTTGATACAAAGAATTAATCAAGATCAGAGATAACAAAGTGAGATCGAAACTAGAACAAGTTTTAGACTAAAGAAACAAGGTCGATGTTAGTAGTCAGGGGCTCTAGGGTTTTCCGTGTATATTGCTATTTGCCCCCGTCCTTCTTTTATAGTCGATCCCACCTCCTTGATTGCCTTTGCGATCTCCGGTCTTCTCCTGTGTGATGGGCCATTCAGCATGTTTACGTCGACTTCAGGAGCGGGCCTGTCTATTCCTTCTTCGTGCTAGTCACATGCCGGGCCTCGCGCGGGGTCAACTTTATTGGGCCGGATTTGGGCTAAACACCTATGGGATATTTTTGTTCCTTGTGGGTCATGTGAGGGATTTCATTGGTGTTCTTGAAGTCCATGTAAAGCCGATTGTTCAGAGGATCGAAGATGTGGACTTGCGTATGGCGTGTAGCAGTTAGTGTGAACCGATAGTTTGTTGCCTGGAAACCTAGATAAGTATGGTGAACTTCTACCCAAAATATTTCCACCCAGTTTCCCTCTTGCTTCTCTGGGCCTCTAGACCTATCTTCATGAATGGTCATCTCCATCTTGGTTCCCTGCATAAATAAATTTCAAGGATCAGTTTTATTTTTCATTGTTGCATGATATTAAAAACTACTGAGATGATGATTTAACTCTTACATCTTCAACTGCTAGGATATAAATCCAATGTGGTCCACTACCGGTAACAGAGGAATAGAAAGGATAGATCCTATATATTTTGATTCTGAAACGCCAATACGTGATCTTCTCGTTATAAGAAACTTCAGAAAGCCTATTGTAGTGTGTCATTTTGTTTGTTGAGAGATGATGTATATTTTTGGATTTTTGCAGAGAAATATTCTATCCGGAGTGAAGGAGACGATTTAACTTACTGTGGGGGAGTTTAGGGTAGTGATAATTGTAGACGGTGTAGTGGTGTGGCATTTAAATGCAGAACCCTTAAATGCAAGTGTAATGATGATTATAGGTGACTTTTCCATGAGGGAAGTCCATTAAAGGGACACGCTACTGCTTGAATTTGGATTTTTTCTCAAACTAAATATTTCCATTTTCATTTACTATCTCGTATACTGCTAGCTAATTTTTTTTTGTCCAAATACTGCTAGTTAATTACCATCATTAAATAATATGCACAATGTATAATAAGTTTTGAATACTGTTGTTGCTATCATTTCTTGAAAAATATAACAATATAATATCTAAATTTCTGAAAGGTTTATACAGTTTCATATATTTAGACAATCTAAATTATTAAAATTTTGCTTAGTTTCATGAATTTAGACAATCAAAATCAGTTACTTTCGCTTACTTATACAAAATATATATCTTTATCGATTAAAGTTATAGAAAGTTTCAAATCCAATGCATGCAACTGTCAAGACTAATGATGATTATCTCCAAGAGAGGCAACTGTTGCAGTTCCTACTCGTAGTCTCTCCATCAAATCACATGGTTCTTTTCGAAAACAGACGTTGCCTTCCCATGTATAACTGGGAAAACTCAGGTACAACAGTACTAACCAAAACATAAGGATCCACGAAGGATGACTGCTTATTCCCACCTGCAAATATTACAACCCTATCTATTCCCCCCCCCCCAATATTTCCCACCTCATGAGATGACCACCCATAGATATGATTCGCTTCACATATCTCGCTAATCTACTTAGTTCTGCCTATATCCCCTTCTCTAATCTAATTTCGAAATATAAATTAAAGATAGATTTATTGTGTTTAAGAATAGGGGTTGCCCTTTATATAAATTTTGACCGACCAATTAACCCCAATCAAATCAATTAAAATTGTAATCGATTTGGATGTAAATAAAAATTAGGGCTTTGTCTATCTCTTTTTCACGGTACAGAGAAAAACCAGTGAAGAGGAAGATAAACGAGAGCAGAGAGAGAGGAGAGAACAAAGAGCGACGAGAGAGAGAGAGAGAGAGAGAGAGAGAGAGAGAGAGAGAGAGAGAGAGAGAGGAGAGAATAGAGAGCGATGAGGAACAGAGAAACAGAAACAGGGAGAGAGAGGAGAGAATAGAGAAACATAGAGGGTGACGAGAGAGAGAGAGAGGAGAGAACAGAGAAACAGAGAGAGAGAAAGAGAGGAGAGAACAGAGCGAAACGAGAGCATCACTGTTGTTAATCATGAGTAGCTCAGCCTCTTCTTCGTTGCCACAGAGGAGAACAATAGGAGGCATACCAACACAATGCTGGTGTGGTTAGAATATTTTCATCCTTGTTTCAAGAACAAAAAAAATCCATATAGAAGGTTTTACAGGTGTGATAGGAACGCAGGTATGAGAATCATGTGTCGCCATTTGTTGGGGTCAAAATCGGTACGACATAATCAATAGCCAAAACTTTCCGTAAAAAAATACTAAATACGTTTTATAAAACTCGCCAAGTCGTTTTATAAAATTCGAGTAGTCGTTTTATAAAACTCGAGAAGTCTTTTTATATAGCTCGAGAAATCGTTTTATAAAACTCGAAAAGTCGTTTTATAAAACTCAAGAAATCGTTTTATAAAACATGAGAAGTCGTTTTAGAAAACTCGAATAAGTATCCAAACAAAGGAAATCTCGGAAAACTCGGAAATCGTTATCTCGAAAGAACGAAACAAACGCCGATTACACGATCGTCCGAGTTAAGTACAAAACCGCAAAAAACCGCATCCGCTGTAAACCACAATCTGGTTCGGCCAAACTAGCTCGCCATACGGCGAGCTGAACCGGTCCGTTTCGGTTCGTCGTACGTCGAGCTAATTATCCCGAGCCTCAATCTCCCACGTCCTCGATTCAATTCGGCACGACCATGTTCCGAACCACGGTCGTAATGTCTCTCGTTTCGTCTCGATCCATCCTATCTTTCGAGTTTTACGATAAAAACCGTAAAGTCTTGTTTTCTCGAAAGAACTCAAGGAAATCGTATAAAACAGCAACGGTTAAATTGTTGAGGTCAAAATCGGTACGACGGAATTAATAGCCAAAATTCCCCGCAAAAATACAAAAGGAACAGTTTTATAAAACCCGAGGAGTAGTTTTATAAAACTCAAAGTCATTGATAAAACTCGCAGACCGTTTTATAAAACTCGAAAGACCGTTTTATAAAACTCGAAAGGCCATTTTATAAAACCCGAAGATCGTTTTATAAAGCTCGATAATCGTTATATAAAACTCGAAAGGCCGTTTTATAAAACCCGAAGATCGTTTTAAAAAACTCGAGAATCGTTTTATAAAACTCGAAAAGCCGTTTTATAAAACTCGAAGATCGTTTTATAAAACTCAAGGATCGTTTTATAAAACTCGAAAAGTCGTTTTATAAAACCCGAAGATCGTTTTATAACACTCGAAGATCGTTTAATAAAACTCGAATATCGTTTTATAAAACTAGAAGATCGCTTTATAAACCTCGAAGATCGTTTTATGAAATCCGAAGATCGTTTTATAAAACTCGAGAATCGTTTTACGAAACCGCAAAAAACCGAAACAGCCGTAAAACGCAAACTAGTCACGACTAGTTCGCCCATGGGCGAACTAAGCCAAGCCAGCTTAGTTCGCCGATGGGCGAACTAGGAGACACTCAACTAGTTCGCCCATCGGCGAACTAAGCCGGCCCGGCTTAGTTNAAATCCGAAGATCGTTTTATAAAACTCGAGAATCGTTTTACGAAACCGCAAAAAACCGAAACAGCCGTAAAACGCAAACTAGTCACGACTAGTTCGCCCATGGGCGAACTAAGCCAAGCCAGCTTAGTTCGCCGATGGGCGAACTAGGAGACACTCAACTAGTTCGCCCATCGGCGAACTAAGCCGGCCCGGCTTAGTTCGCCGATGGGTGAACTAAGAGATACTCAACTAGTTCGCCCATCGGCGAACTTAGAGATGCTCTCTAGTTCACCCATCGGCGAACTAAGCTGGCCCGGCTTAGTTCGCCGATGGGCGAACTAGAGAATTCCCGGATATCCCGCGCCTCGATCTCCCGCATTCCCGATTCGAAACTTACGTCTTTCGACAAGGTCGCTTTCTAAACCAAGGCCGAAACATCTCCCGTTCCATCTCGATCCGACCTACCGTTCGAGTTTTACGATAAAAACCGTAAAACTTCACTTTCTCGGAAAGAACTCGAGGAAATCGTATAAAACGGCAACGGTTAAACGAAACACCGAACATTGCCCAAACTATAAGATTTATTCGAGATTTCTCGTTCAAATCATAAAAACGCGTTTTTAATAAAAAAACGCCGAGTAAGTCGTAAAAACGTGTTTTTTATAAAAAGTCGAGTAAATCATAAAACCTTGCGATTAACTCGAGTAATTTATTAAAAACGACGTCAGATCAGGAGATGATCCCGTAAAAAGTCGGAAAACGGATTTACCGCAAAACGGCCCGGAAGGACCTAAAACGCGATAAAAACCCATCTCGCGATTTCAACGGAATCTAACCCGCAGATTTGATAACGTTTTGACGGTTTACTCGCAGGAGGAAAATAAAAGTCAAGTTTGAAGATAAAAGGAATGTTTGAAGAAAAATAGAAGATTTCCGCGGAAGAAAATGAAGGATCGAGAAAAATGGAAAATTCCCGATATAGTTGAATCTGGGCGAAATGGAAAGACCGAATGACCAAGGGGAGGAGTATATAAATAGGAGGTCTAGGGCAGAAGCAAGACAGACGAAATTCAGAGCTCTCACCACCAAAATTAGCATTTAGGAATATTTTTGTTTTTCTGTTAGCGAGCTGCGTCTCAATTAGGGTTTTTTGTTCTTAAGTTTTCGGCTACTCTCTTTGTACCAGTTCTACGCAGATTCGGAATAAGAACCTCTTTGCTATTGATTTTCGTTTATCTTTTAATAATTCTAAGTTTTCTTGTTATCTTAATCTTCGTTGTGCGGTTCTGCAGATAGCCGGTTCCTCTGGAAAATTAGGGTTTTACCGAAGTTTCCTTATTTACGATTATTTGACAGTAGGTGGATTTCGACACCCACAGTTTGGCGCTAGAAGGAGGGGGGGTCGGATCTATCTTACACCGTAGCCGCAACATGTCCAACGAAGAAACGATGACTGGTGACAACCAAACTCGCAACGAACGCGACAACATTGAAACACCACCACCAAAAGACGCGCCTGCGGCCAACGCTACAAACGCTAACGCCGAGACCGTCGAAAAGATGCTTTCCGAGTTTAATAAAAAATCGAAAGAGCAGGAAAAGCTCATTGGTTCGCTCACAAAACGAGTCGAAACCCTAATGGCGAGAACCAGAGCTATTCGCCCCCGCGGAAGGAGACTCGACTTCGCCGCTCCTACGGATCGTCCCAGAATCGAGCAGGGAAACTTACCGGAAAAACATTCCGGAAAAGAAAACCCTGGCACGACAATGAACGAATCAGAAAAATCTCCTATGCGCGAACAGGAGACCGAAGGCGACGGCATCGAAAGGGCCAACTTGGAAACGAGCAACCAGGCCGACCCGACAGACGAAGACGCCGACGTCCATCCTAGGAGAAGAAAAACTCGCAGTCCTCAACCAGACTCGTCTCCCGAACGTTCCTTTACTGGAGATGAAGGGGAACTCGACTTCGCGCGATACGCAAAAACCGTCGAGGCGCGATCTCCGGTCACTCACAGCAAACGCCGACAAGGTCAGAAAACTACTGGCGATCTGACCGAGATTCGCGATCTCCGCGAATACATCACCAAAACGGCCACAACGGTAAAAGCGGTTAAATCTCAGATTCACCACGCTACCAGCGCCGCACCCGAGATCGATCGGCTACTGTACGAGTCTCGGAAA